GCAGCCCCTTCCTCCAGCGCTCCCCTCCCAGCCCGGCACGGTCTCTCTTCCCTGCCTTGCCAGCAGCCACAGATTGGGCATCTCCATCTAGTGGGGTGACACTGTCTCAGGGGAGCGTGGCGTGCTCACCTTGCTCACTAGGAAGGGAAGAGCATGCAGGTGAAGGTGCCTTGGGCCATGGGACAGCTTCTGCTAGGTAATGAATAGGGCGGCTCTGTTTTGTCAGCTGGGTCGCCAGTATAAAGGGCTTTTTTTGGTAATTTAAATTTAGTTATGTGATACTGGGGATAGACTTCAGGTGTCTTGCATACAAAGTGGTTGCTCTACCACTTGAGCCACAACTCCACTTCCTGCTTTTTTGCTGGTTCATGAGAGAGAAGAGTCTCACAGACTTTTCTTGCCCAGGCTGGCTTTGAACCATGATCCTCAGATCTCAGGCCTCCTAAGTAGCTAAGAATACAGATATGAATTACAGGTGACTGTAGTTTTTAATGCATCAATTTTCTTGAGTATAATCGGTGATACATATTAAATGGAGTTTGACTCATGTGTGGACTCCTGTGAGACCATTTCATGCTCAGTCACAAACACTTCCCCTCAGGCTGGGAAGGTGGCTCAGTGGTAGAGTGCTTGCCTTGCATGCATGAGGCCCTGGGTTCGATTCCTCAGTACCACATAAGCGTAAAGAAAAAAAAAAACGGAAGTAGCGCTGTGGCTCAAGTGGTACAGTGCTAGCCTTGAGCTGAAGAGCTGAGGGACAGCGCCCAGGCTCTGAGTTCAGGCCCCACGACTGGACACAAACACTTCCCCTCCCCCGTCCATCCCCTCCTTTGCCCCCTCCCCCATCCTCTCTCCCAGCCCCCTCTCCCCCCCAACCCCTCTCCAAACCCCCCCACCCCGGTATTGGGCAAACACTGACCTGGGCCCTCTGTCAAAGTAGACTCATTTACATTTTTCTGGAATTTTAAATATGTAAATGGAATATATGTAGTACTCCATTATATTGATACGAGCAATTTTGTCTGTTCATCTGTCTATTGATCTTTTGCCTGACGTCAGCTCTGGGTAATTGCAAATAAAACAGCTGTGAACTCTCACGTGCACACTGCTGCACAGTTAAGGACAGGACAGGCCGTGCAGTTTTTCTGGGTGGATGTTCAGGAGTGGAGTCGCTGGTCCTGGCCCCCCGGGGGGAAAGGCCTCCAGTCTCTTCGGGTAGCGCTAGGGCTGGACCACAGCTCCACACGTTCCAGCAAGTGCTCCACCACCAAGCTAGCATGGCGCCAGAGGCTCACGCCTGTAATCCTAGCTAATCAGGGGGCTGAGATGTGGAGGATCTCAGTTCAAAGCCAGCCCAGGGAAGGAAAGTCTGTGAAACCCTTATCTCTAATCAACAAGCAAAACTCTAGAAGTGGAGCTGTGGCTGAAGTGATACAGCACCAGTCTTGAGTGAAAAAGCTAAGGGACATAGCCCACCTTGAGTTCAAGCCCCAATGTTGACATGCACGCGCACACACACACACACCTTTGCCAAACAAACTACTAAGACATTCTCCAATTTTCTTTTAAAAACGATTATAATTCTACCTCTTACACTTAGATCTATAGTATGAATAAGGTCACTTTTTGGATATGGTATGAGTTAGATTTGAGGGCCCCCCCCCTTGTGCTTTGCAATCCAATTTTTCCAGGATCATTAGTTGCAAAATTTATGCTTTCCCCATCGAATTCTCTGGCACTTTGAGAATCAATGCACCACACAGGCAGGCAGGGCTCTCTCTATTTCTGAGTCTCCACGTCACCAAATTAAACACCATCAGTGCTGGGGTGGAGCAGGCCTCCCTGCTGCTGGGCAAAGTGCTGCATCCTTTGATTCCTCCTTCCTTCCTTCCTTCCTTCCTTCCAACTTCCTAACTTCCTTCTTTCCTTCTTATCTTCCCTCCTTCCCTCCCTCCATTCTTTCCTTCCTTCCTCCTCTTCTCTCTTTCTTCTTCCTCCTCCTCCTTTCTTCTTTTTTGAAGTTCTATAGCTCCTTTAAGGCAATGTTGGTTGCATTTTCTTGTATTAGGATGCACTTGTTAATTCATACAAAGTAATAATCTGCTGGCATTTTGGTTGGGATTTCATTGGATTTATGGATTCACTTGTGAATTGGAGTTCTGGTAATACTGAGATTTCCAATCTCTCACCACAGAACATCTGCGTCTCCATTTATTTAGGCCATCTTTATTTCCCTTTTGCAATATACTAGTTTATATTTCATGGGGCTTGCCTTGCTTTTGCATAATCTTTGCAACTAACGATCCTGGAACAACTCTATCTCCAGGTCGCTTTTTTCCAGCTTGAATTACACATTTGCATTGAAGGGTTTTGTCCCCTGTAGTTACAAGCCCACAGAAATCGCATCCATTTCCTACACGCACTGTACACCCTGCAGCCTCGCTGAAGTCTCTCACTAGTTCCAGTAACATTGTCCCCATTACTCAGGAGGGGCAATCGGGAAGACTGCTGTGTCTCTGGGTCTCCTGCTCTCCCTTAGCCTTTTCAAACAGGGCGGGTGCTCTACCCCTTGAGCCACAGTTCCACTTCTGGCTGTTTGCTGATTAGTGGGAGATTAGAGTCTCTTAGAATTGTCTACACAGGCTGGCTTCAAACTGCGATCCTCAGATTGCAGCCTCCAGAGCAGCTAGAATCACAGGCGAGAGCTACCCACCCCTCACGCCTGCAGACCCTTTCTTTCTTTCTTTTTTGTCGGTCATGGGGCTTGAACTCGGCCTCAGCTCTTCAGCTCAAGGTGAGCGCTCTACCACTTGAGCTACAGCGCCACTTCCGGTTTTCTGGTGGTTTATTGGAGATAGGAGTCTCACGGTCTCTCTTGCCCGGGCTGGCTTTGAACCTCGATCCTCAGATCTCAGCCTCCTGAGTAGCTAGGATTACAGGCGTGAGCCACCAGCGCCCGGCCAGACCCTTTATTTCTATGCCTGGCTTGTGACACGGCTCAGGAGCAGTGTGGAATAGGAAGTGTGGGAGCAGACACCCTGTGTCCCCCGCCCCCAATTCCTGGTCTTAAAGGGAAAGCATTCCATCTTTCACCTTAAATATGATGGTAGAGAGTCCAGTTTAACGAGTAGAGTCCAGGATGTCCAGCTGACAGGTAGATGTCCTTTATGTATGCCCTGCTATTGGGTGAGATGGAATTTCAAGAACTTTTTACCTGGGCTGGCTTTCAACCCCAACTTCCCAATCTCTGCCTTTGGAGTGGCTAGGATTACAGGCGTGAGCGGCCCTCCCTGGCTAGACATTCCCTTTGACTCCTAGTTGGATGAATGTTTTGATTTTTAAAAAACATTTTGTAAAATATTCTTTCCGCATCTCTCAAGATGACGTCTCCTGTTTAGACATCAGGCTTCGTAACCCAGGCTGGCCTTGAACTCATTCTGTATTCCACACGGGATCGTCCTACCTCTGCCTCTCAAGGTCTGGGATTATAGGTGTGAACCACCATACCCGGATTGAACTTTCTTTTTGAAGTTTGTTAATAATTAGTTTATTAACCTTATTTTCAAATGTTAAACCAAGTCTACATTCCTGAAATAAAGTCCACCTGTTCATGGTGCCTTTTTTTCAATGTTGTTTACTTGATGTTTGTTAAGAATTTTTGTCTCATGCTGGGTGCCGGTGGCTCACGCCTGTAATCCTAGCTACTCAGGAGGCTGAGATCTGAGGATCATGGTTCAAAGGCAGCCCAGGCAGAAAAGTCTGTGAGACTCATCTCCAGTTAACCACAAGAAAACTGGAAATGGTGCTGTGGCTCAAGTGGTAGAATGCTAGCCTTGAGCTGAAGAGCTGAGAGACAGCGCCCAGGCCCAGAGTTCAAGCCCCACAACCAACAAAAAAAAAAAAGAATTTTTGTCTCAGGCTGGAAAGTAGCTCAGTGGTAAAGTGCTTGCTTAGCATGTATGAGGTTTTTTGTTTGTTTTTTAAATCTCCAGCACCACATCATCTTTCGTGTTTGTGTTGTAAGAAATAATTGGTTTCCAGTTTTCTTGTCTCTTTTGGGGGGTTGGTGTCAAGAATAAGATGGGAGGTGTGATCTCTTTGTAAATAATCTGGAAGAAGTTGTACGGAATTAGTGTTGTCTCTCCCCTTTTTTTCACTCTACAACTTGAGCCACAGCCCTGCTTTCACCCTTTTTTTTTTTTGCTGGCTGCTTGAAGATAGGAGTCGATGGATTTTCCTGCCCAGCCCAGCTTCCAACTGGATTCATCAGATGGCAGCCTCCTGAGTAGCTAGGATTTCAAGCATGAGCCACCAGCGCCTAGCTCTTTTTCCTTCCTTCCTTCCTTTCATTTTGTGTGTGTGTGTGTGTGTGTGTGTCTCGTGGGGCTTGAACTCTGGGCCTGGACACTGTCCCTCAGCTCTAACACAGCGCCACCTCTGGCTTTTTCTGCTTATGTGGTGCTGAGGAATCGAACCCAGGGCCTCATGCATGCAAGGCAAGCGCTCTACCACTGAGCCACCTTCCCAGCCTGCTTTTCTTTCTTTCTAGACAGGTTTTGCTATGTAGTCCAGGCTGACCAGAGATTGTTTTCCTACCTCAGTCTCAGTGCTGGGATTGTAGGTGTGTACCATCACATCTGGCTGAAGCATTGCTATGATTTATTTTTTTCTTAAATGTTTGGCAGAAGCCTGGAGTTTTCGCTGTGAGGAGCGTTTGAACCATAAGTTTAATGTCATTAATAGGTCTAGGACCAATAAATGTTTGTTTCTTCTTTAGTTGAGTCAGTGTTCTTCAAGAAATTCCTTAGTTCTAAATCAAGTGAAGTATTGCTCTTTCTCCCTCCCGCTTCTTCTTTTTTCCCTCGTTCCCTCCTTCCTCCTTCTCCAGCCCTCTTCCCCTCCCTAGGCCTTGACTCTAAGGCCGTGGTTTCCTTTCTCTCCCCTCAGCTTCTGCAAAACTTATCACTAGTTCTCATTTCATTCCCGGACAGCCAGCAGCCTTCTCATACGATCTGAATCACTGACATTTATTACGTGGGGAGAGGCTGGGGGGCGGGGGGCACCTGCTAGGGTCCGGGTGTGTGTGAGCTGCATCTGGAGCCCCTGGAGGGTTCTGGGCTCCCAGGGGACTGTGGGGACCCCGGGGCTGTGTGGGGTCTGGACAGCAGACAGTGATGGGGAGCCCAAGGGAGGGGTAGGAGGGACTGTGGGGGTGCATGGCGCGTGGCAGAAGGCCTACACACCGAGGGGCCAGGAGCCGTTCCTCTTGTCTCCTCCCCTCAAGTCTTCCCAGGAGCCCGGTGTCACCCGACCCCTCCCCCACTATGGAGCCACCCCTTCCCCACCTCCCAGCCCTGCGCACAGATGCCTGCAGCCAGCACGCCGCCTGCAGCCAGCACGCCGCCTGCAGGCCGTGTGTCCAGTGTCTGGGTCCTCAGAGCCCAGGGCAGGATCTCCTGTGGGTGATGGGTGGGCAGGCGACGGTGAAGCCCACAGCTGCGAGCCTCAGCTAGGGCCCACAGCAGGCCTGGCCTGGCGGGCCTCGAACTCGGGCCCTGGGAGGTGGACACCGAAACCATTCTTGTTTTCTAGCGGAAGACTCTGTACATGGCGGGGTGTGATTGGGGGAAGGTGGGGAGACATGAGCCAGGCTCCTACAGGGCTGGGGCAGGGACGAGGGGAGGCGAGGGAGGACACGCAGCCTCCAGTCACAGCAGATCTCACGCCAGCCTGGTGGCCACGTGCCTGGGCCACGCCAAACCCCAGAGTCCAGGCAGCTCCTTCCTGGGGTGTTGGGGGGGGGAGGTGGCAGTTGGGCTCCGTGTGGCGGAATATCTAGAGCCAGGTGCTCTGTGTAATGATGACCGCTTTTCTGTTGTCCCTGGCAGCACTATGTCTCCTAGAACAATCGAGAAAGACAAATAGAAGTGAGCACAACTTGGGACCAAAGCTTGTGGGGCTCTAAGTCCAGTGTTAGAGTCTGGCCTTCCCTAAATACTCAGAAGCTAAGAGAGCACCAAGCGCAGAGTCGGTCTGCAACAAGAATGGATTACACGAAGGGAGAATTAGTCCCAGCTTGCCCACCTCTCAGCCTGGTGCCTTTAGGCAAATGACAGAAGCTATCCCACCTCCCTTGACCAAGAAACAGACAATTATACCACTGTGTGGAGTGCTGGATTGTTCTGGTAACATGCGACTTTGTGTGCAGTCACACGTCTGCAGTATCAAGCACTCAGAGACTGAGGCAGGAGGATTGCAAGTTTGGTGTCAGCATGGACTAAATAGACTCCGTCTCAAAGAGATGCTAAAGCTGGGCGCCAGTGGCTCCTGCCTGTAATACTAGCTACTCAGGAAGCTGAGGTCTGAGGATCCTGGTTCAAAGGCTGAGCCACTGGTGCCTGGTATATATAACCTCCTGGCCCCTCCCAACCCCTCTAGGCCCCGCCCAGCCCCCCAGGCCCCTCCCAGTCTCTCCAGGCCCCTCCCTGCTTCCCACTGGCTACTCACTGGCTCTCCAGGTTCTGTACAGTGTCGGGGAGTGGCTGTCCCTGGGTGTCAGGGAGGCAGAGCCGCATGACCAGGCCGGAGACAATGGGGACAGTACCGTAGGAGAGCGGTGGCAGCAGAGGCAGGGTCTGGTGGGCCATCCTGAGCAAAGGCCCAGCTATCGCTCCCACGCGGCCTAGAGACTGCTGGAAGCCGTTTGCTGCCATGCTGTGGGGAAAGAGCAGGCCCGGCCCCGCGTCACAGCTGCCCCTGTGGTAAGAGGACCGTTCGTGGTGGCAGGGATGGGAATCTGCGCTGAGGAGTTAGTGGCTTCCTCCAGGTCTCTGAAAACACCCCTGCCTCTATGAAGCCCACCTCCTTGATTTTCCCATTCCCTCCTTCAAGTAGACACTCAGGGCCCCCCGGAGTCTCCCTGTCTTTTGGGGATGGCCTCAGCGCCGGAGCTTCTAGCCCCCGGTTTCCTTATGATAGCAGTCAAACCAATAAGGAGCCCAAACATGTGGGTAAAAGAATAGAGAAATGAGGAAGATATGACTGGCAGGAATGGTAGCGATAAGGCTGGGCAGAGGCTGGAGGCTGGGGCTCAGTCTCCTCTTTGCTGTCAGCCCTTTACCTCCAGCCTCAGTTTACTCAACTGTCCTAAGACTCTAGGCCACTGGTCCTCCATTATGTTGTGTCCTAAGGAGGAGACTTGGGGTACTTGGGGCAGTAGAGAGAACGTGGGAGTCCACTTTCGATCTCTTTACGAGGGTTTTTGTTTTGTTTTGTTTTTAAAGATTTTAGCCAGACCCAAAGAATTTCAAAACTCGAGCCTAAGATGTCAGGTGTTGTAGTGCACATCTATAATGCCAGCCCAGGAGAGCCGGAGGCAGGAGGATTCTGAGTTCGAGGCTAGCCTGGGCTACATTCTGAGACTCAGCCAAAACAAAACAAAGCCTGGATGCCCTGAGGCATAAATACCTGGCCTAGCCCCCCCCCACGCCTGGCCCCCTCCTCAGGCCTGCCCTGCCCCCCTCACATGCCCCCCCAGCCTGCACCCCTCTCCCGCCTGTCCCCCACCCTGTCTGTCCCCCAAGACCTGCCCCTCCCCCACCTGTCCCCCCTCCCCCAGGGTCTGCTTCACCCCCAGGCCTGTTCCTCCCCCAGGGCCTGACCCCCTCCAGGCTACCCTCCTCCCCCCAGCCTGCCCACCCCCTGGGCCTGCCCTCCCCTGGGCTTGCTCCCCCACCTGCCCCCTCCCTGGGCCTGCCCCCCAGGTTTGCCCCCCAGCCTGGTCTCCCTCTCCCCCAGGGCCTGCCCACCTCCTGCCAGGGTGTCCTGTCTGGGACCCACCCCAGCCTACCGCAGCGAGGTCGGGAAGAGCTCTGTCCCGTAGACAGTGATGCTGGTCAGGGTGATCGCAAAGCAGCCTCTCCCCAGCACAGCCAGCGCCACGCGCAGGGCCTGCAGATCTGGGCAGAGACGGGCGAGTGGGGTCTCCTGAGAGGCCCCCCAGGGGCAGATCACCTTCAGGAGCTGTGTGTATTGGGGAGGGGAGACAGGTTCCCCCCCCAGCCCTGGGCAGGGCTGACCCGGTGCCAGGCCACCCAAGCCCAAGTCCAGGAGGAGAGCAGGTGCAAGGCAAGGTGGCGGCAGTAGGGGTATGGGGGAGGCCGGGGCAGAGGTGGGTGGCCTGAGTCCCTGCTAAGAAGCCGAGCTTGGGTCTCTGCCTGCCATGGGCCTGGGCCGTCGGTGAGCGGAGATGAGCTTAGCAAGCACAAGGCCGGGCCCCATCTCAGCACCTGCCATGCGCGTGTGCACACGAGCACACATGTGTGCACAATACACACACTGCATGCAGCACACACCGGAGCATGCCTGCACATAGGCAACCACGTGTGTACAAGTGTGCATGTGCAACACACCTGTGCACGCTCTCTGCTTGGTGTCCCCACTGCCTCAGTTGGAAGAAGCAGTCTTCCAGGCCCTTCCAGGCCCCTCAAGCGTAAGCCTGGGCATCTACCTCACCTCTCTGAAGCTTGGGGAGATGGAAGTGGATCCTGGACCCCTGAGCCAGGCACCAGAGGGAGGGATGGTCAGAGACGGAGGCCCAGCGGCCGTGGCCACAGAAACACTCCCTCTTGGGGCCAGTGGAGGGGAAGGAGGCCGCGTGGATTGTGTGTGTGTGGGGGGGGTGGGCAGGGACTGGGGCCCAAGCCGCTCCTGTTCAGCCTTCCTGCTCACCTTGGGGCACAAGCACATTGGCCAGGATGCACGCGCCGGCCAGGGCCTGGAAGCTGGCCAAAGTCATGCGGCGGCCCAGGAGGCTGAGCATGGGGATGGAGGTGACCCGGCCCACGATATCCACGGCTCCGAAGAGGGCCTGCAGGAGGAAGAGGTCCCGGCCCAGGCTCTGCAGGTCCAGGACCAGCCCGTAGTAGGACAGCTGTATGCAGACGCTGCAGGGCGGAGCCAGGGGTTGGGTCACTGCCACAGAGAACAGGGGCGCCAGCCCCCCACGCCACCTCCACCAGGCCACCTGTCAGAGCTGGCGGTGGCCAGGCCCCCCCAGCAACCTGTGAAGTGCAAGGCCCGTCGCCCAGGGTCAAGCTCAATCTAGGAAAGGGGGGGCGGGGAGTGACAGCCACAGCCATCCCCACATGGGCTGCGGGGAGAGCCCCAGGCCGTCCTCGGGCCTCGGAGGGTCAGCTGAGCTGCTCTGCAGCTGCTGTAGCTCCTCTGCCTTGCTTCCCAGATATGCTTGGAGGGCATGCTGGGCTGCCCAGGCCCCATCAGGACGGAAAGACTTAGTCCTCCACCCCTAAGAGCACTGTCCTCAGCTGAGACCTGGTGACAGGTTTTGAACTCAAGATCTTGCATTTTCCATGCCTTTTTGTTTTGTTTTCAGATAGAGTCTTACATTTATGCCTGGGCTAGGTTGGACTGTGATCCTCCTATTTTTGCTTCCTTGAGTGACTGGGATTGCTCAATACACACTACCACACACAGATTCTTTTTTTTCCTCTTAAGATTGGTCAGTGGGCAGGGCGCTGGTGGCTCACACCTATAATCCTAGCTACTCAGGAGGCTGAGATCTGAGGATCGCGGTTCAAAGCCAGCCTGGGCAGGAGAGACCGTGAGACTCCTATCTCCAATAAACCACCAGAAAACCGGAAGTGGTGCTGTAGCTCAAGTGGTAGAGCGTTCGCCTTGAGCTGGAGAGCTGACAGACAGCGCCCAGGCCCAGAGTTCAAGCCCCACGACCAACAACAACAACAACAAAAAAGATTGGTCAGGGGGTGAGTTGGAGTTGGGGACTCTACTCAACCGTCTTCCTGGGCTGGCCTCTAAAGTCATCCATCTTCATCTCAGCTTCCCAAGTAGCTAGGATTACAGGCATGAGCTCCCAGGCTCTGCTCTAACCACGGTGGAAAATCTGTCCCCGTCCCTGCACTTCTCAGCTGGTCCCTCTTGCAGTCCCTGATGGTTTCACTCCGTAGACCCGACAGGAGTGGGGGACAGGCAATGTCTGCAGGTACCGGTACCCAGTGCCCTGTCAGTAGAGGAGCAACAGCTCTGTGGGAGCCCAAGCAGGCCAGGTCTCTGGTTCCTGGAAACCTACAGGGTCAGAGGCATCAAGGCGCTTCTGATTTAAATAACAAAGCATGTTGGGTAGCCCCTGGGAGGACCAGAGTCTTAAAGGATTTTTGGTTTTTTGGTCAGTCATGGGGCTTGAACTCTGGGTCTGGGCGCTGTCCCTCAGCTCTTCAGTTCGGGGCGAGCGCTCTACCACTTGAGCCACAGCACCACTTCCAGTTTTCTGGTGGTTCACTGGAGATAAGATCTCACAGACTTTCTTGCCTGGGCTGGCATTGAACCTTGATCTTCAGATCTCAGCCTCCTGAGTAGCTAGGATGACAGGCGTGAGCCACTGGTGCCCAGCTTGTTTTTGGGTTTTTTTTTTTTTTTGGTTGTAAGGCATGAACTCAGGGCCTGGGCACTGTCTCTTAGCTTCTCCCCCCAATACACACACACACACACACACACACACACACACATACACACTCTGTTCAGGGTTAGTGCTCTACCACCTTGAGCCACAGTGCAAGTTCTCTGGAAGATTTTTAAGCTTGGTTTTTAGTGTTTTTGTTGGTTGTTTTCTGTACCCGGCTTGAACTCAGGGTGTCATGCTCTCACTCAGCCTTTTCTTCCCCCCTCCCCCACCCCCAAGGCTGGCACTCTACCACTTGAGCCACAGCTCTACTCCCGGCTTTTTGGAGACAAGAGTCTCATGGACTTTGCTGCTTGGGCTGGCTTTGAAGCCATAATCCTCAGATCTCAGCCTCCTGAGTAGTTCTGATTACAGGCGTGAGCCACCACGACCCAGCCGGATCCTGATTTTTTTTTTTTTTTTTTTGGTCGGTCATGGGGCTTGAACTCTGGGCCTGGGCGCTGTCCCCGAGCTCTTCAGCTCCAGGCTAGCGCAGGGGCGGGGGGGGGGTAGTCCTGGCCTCCTCGGCTCTGCTGGGGTCCGGAGGACATGCCGTTACCCCACACACGCTGTCCTGACTCCCAGGCAACGCACCTCACCATGGACATGACCCATATCCTCCTGACCAGTATGGGCACCTGGAACAGGTCCAGCAGCGTCCGCTGAGCCTCCCCACAGGTCATTTCCTCCTCCATGGTGGACTTGAGCACCTGGGGGACAGGGGCGCAGGCGCCGGCCGTGTGGGGAAGCAGGCCCGTGCCCAGGCGCGCACAGGAATGAGGAGGCCTGCCCCCCCCCGACTGGTGTGGGGCCCCTGCCTCCCCCGACCCCCAGCCTGGGAAGAGGAGGAGCCCCTGGCCTGGCTCAGGCCACTGAGCTGCGGGAACCCAGCAGGAACCCCACAAATCGCCACCACCCCCCTCATCCCTCAGGGGCTGGCACCAGAGCTTGCCACAGGCCGGCTCCCGGCTCCCCAAGGCTCCCCAAGGCTCCCCAAGGCTCCCTCAGGCCATCTGCTCCTCTGGCCCTCCCCAGGCCTGCCCTAGGTTCAGTTTAGTCCCCTCCCCTCTTGCTTGCCTCCTCCTGGAAGCCCCCCCCAAGTCTGTATCCCCAAAAGCACCCTGTGGCTTCCCCTCCCCCTCCCTTGAAACAGCTCCTCGAGAGCACCCTGCATGGCTAATACACTCCAAGCTCCGCACACGCGCCTGGAGCTGCAGGCAGCAGGGACGGTGGCGCGCGGCTTCTGTGCCGCTGGTGGGGACGGGTGTGGCTGGTGCTGGCACGGCAGCAGGGCAGCGCCTCCTCTCCGCATCGCAGCACCTCCCGCGGCTCACCTCTGTGGTCAGGGTCTTCGGGGCTTCCTTGCAGCCGTTGATCCTGGCCACTTTTTGAAGTTCCCCAAGGGCTTGGTCTGGTTTGCCTTTGATGAGCAGCCATCGGGCGGACTCTGGCAGCCACCTGTGAAAGATGCAGGGGCTGGACCTGCGCTGTGCACCTTGCGGGGGGGGGGGGGGGGGGGGGGGGGGGGGGGGGGGGAGCCCCTGGGGTGGTGGACAGGAGTCCAGTGGTTCCCTTCTGGGCTGTAGAGGCCATGCTGGGAGGCTTAGAGTACTCCCATGGGTGCCAGGCCACCCACACAGTGCTGGGTTCCTTTCCTCCCTCCCTCCCTCCCTCCCTCCTTTCTTCCCTCCCCGCCCACTTTTTTTTTTTCTCAGCTCATTTAACAGATCCTCAAGCCAGGCACTGGTGGCTCACGCCTGTAATCCTAGCTATTCAGGAGGCTGAGATCTGAGGATCACAGTTCAAAGCCAACCCCCTAGCAGAAAAGTTTCTAAGACACTTATCTCTAATAAGCTACAAAAAAAAGCTGGAAGTAGAGTTGTGGTTCAAGTGATAGAGGCTTTTGCAAAAGAAGCTCGGGGATGCTGGGCGCTGGTGGCTCATCCTAGCTACTCGGGAGGCTGACATCTGAGGATCTCGGTTCAAAGCCAGCCCAGGCAGGAAAGTCTGTGAGACTCTTATCTCTAATGAACCACCAGAAAACCAGAAGTGGCACTGTAGCTCAAGTGGTAGAGTGCTAGCCTTGAGCTGAATTGCTCAGGGACAGCGCCCAGGCCCGGAGTTCAAGCCCCACAACCGACAAAAAGAAAAAAAAATGTTGCTCATCACCACCTCCATCTCAACCCACTTCAATCTACCTGATATTTAAAGAGCCCTAGTTGTAAGGTTGTGTGTGTGTGTGTGTGTGTGTGTGTGTGTGTTTGCGTGCACACGTGCATGCGCGCGCAGGTTTCACTCCTGAATAAAGCTTGTTGGCCTGTGGAGTTCTCTTTCTGCCCTGTTTATTCCGATACCCTCGTGACTCAGTTTCCTTACAGGGCCCTGTCATTCTCCACACCGCACTCTGCACCGCTGGGCTCCAGCTCCTGTGCACTAGTGACCTTGGGGTGACATTCAGCTGTGCGTCTCTCTTGGAGTCCCTTCCCCCTTCCACACGCAAACAGGGTTTTCCAAACCATAGGGTTTGTTTGCTTAGTTTGTAGGACTCCAAATAAGTGACAAATTCTCACATCCAATGTCACTGCAGAGATCCGGATGATGGGGAGGGCGGGCCCGTGGCACACGACAGTGTGACACCACAGAGGTGACAGAGGCCGTTGTGGGAGTGGCCCTGTGTCCTGGGAATGTCTTGTTTCTTTCCAGAAAAGGTCAAAATAGTGTTTTGTCTTTGGTTTTGTTTTAAAATATCTCCTGGGTTTCCAGCGTTGTTCACTACTTTTTTTTCTTTTCCTTTTTTCACATCACTAGTTGAGCCGTGGGCGCCTGTCCAGGCTGGAGGGTGCCCAGGCCTCTGGCTGAAATGTTCACCTGAGAATTAGGTATACAGATGTCACCGTCCTCATGTGTGTCGGGGCCGTGGACTGTCAGGCAGTGGGAGCAGGGACCCTGCCCCCTCTGCCCCAGGTCTCCCCTGGGAAGAGACTCCTCACCGCACTGACCATGAGATCAGGAAGGTGAGCAGGAAGGGCACGGACACAGCCAGCTGGAGGGCTCTCCAGTCCCGCAGGGCGAACGCCAGGCCGGCCAGGCCCATCTGGCCCATGCTGTAGGTGCAGCACTGAATCGTCATGGCAACAGCTCTCCAGCGGGTTGTGGTCCACTCGGCTACTGGAAGGCAATGCAGAGGTGCCGGTGAGAGTTGAGAGTCTGGCTCCTCTTCTCCCCCTACCCACCCTCCCAGAGCGGGTGAGGCATGGGAGACTCACTCAGCGTGGTTGTGATCAGGATGCTGCCGCTCAGCCCGAAGGCACTCAGGAACCGCAGGCCACAGTAGATGGGGAAATTCGGGGCAAAGACAGTGCTGGTGCCAGCCACACCAGTTTGTAGCCAGCACCAGGTCAGCATTGGCTTACGTCCTAACCTGTGGAGGAGATCCAGGGACAACGCACCCAGCAAGTGTGTGGGGAGGGCAGACTAATCTTCTCATGCTAGAACCTTCCAGAAACTTCTCGAAGGAGCTTCTAGAAGGTTCTAGGAGCTGCTAGGAGTACACATAGAGTGCTTCTGTCATCAAAACAGTGAGGACCTTGCTCTCAGAGTTAATGCAGCCTTGTGGTCAAGAGCTGGCTCTGCCCTGCCTAGATTGCCTTGGGTATATGACCAGGTCTCCAGATGGCCACGACTCATGGTTCGTGAAATCAAAACCTTAAGCAAAGAGGCAGTCTCCCACAGAGGCCACGCGCACGTGACCTCGGATAAGCCAGCCCCCGTCCCACATGTGCATGGGGACAGACGTCCTGCAGGCCCAGGCAGAGCCTCTGGCCTGGCACCCAGCTCACCACGAACGCATCCGTGCGCCTCTGGCCTGCTGGTCAGACATGCTGGCCCGTGTGTGCAGTGCTCAGGAGAGAGGGAGACAGCCAGCCCAGATCCAGGGTTAAGTCTGCCGTCTGACCTCAGCCCAGACCCCAGGCTTATCCCATGACTCACAGACCGATCGCCACTTGGCTTTGCGCATGGATGGGCAGCAGGACTGAGTGATGGACTGTAATCGATACGTGGCAGCTGCTCAGTCCCCTAAAATGCAGACTGGACCCCATCCCTGCCGCTCAGGCTCCCGCCACGCTCCAATGACATGACGATGGCAGCTGACTCTGTGCCAGGCTACCCCCAGCTGTCTGGGTTAACTCACTTCATCCCCACAGTAACCACACAGGAGCTGCCCCCTTGATGGGGAAACTGAGGCACAGGGAAGGAAAGACACTGTGCTCCCAGGGGCAGGCTGGACTGGGTAATGCTGCGATTTTTAATGTGGGGCCCCCGACTCTGGGCTGGGCTGGGCTGGGCTCTGTGCTGGGCTGTGCTGTGCTGTGCCGGGCTGGGCTATGCTATGGCTGGGGAGGTCCGAGCGTGTCAGGAAGCCACTCGTGCCTTGACAAAATAATGATGGGGTGTCACCACCCGCCAGGTGCTGCACTGGCCCCACATCCCTGTTGCCACAGAGACCCAGACAATGAGCCAGCCAGCC